AAAACATCCAGAGAAAACTTGCCTTTTTAGAGACTAATGATTTTTGATTTTACAAAATTAGTGAAAAATTATTTGCAAGTTTTTAATTTTTTCCAAGAACAAAACACAATCAAATTCTCACCCATCTTTACTCGGCAAAATGTTCTTTTAGAAGAGTGAAACATTTCAGTATGTTTTATAGTGCTCAGCATCTCTAGGTATTCCTTTGTCCTGAGATGCTATGCCATGTAGAACTATGAACAATCTTGCCCTATGTCCTTCTGCATCTTCATGAGTCTGCAGAGAAAATGCAGATAATGATGTGGATCTTTCCAGAAACCCAGCTCTATACTTCATGATGTATACCTGCACATGATATTTTTTCAAGTGTGGAACCCACCTTCATATCTCTCCACAATCCAGCCTTGTACCTTTGAAAAATTACTCTCAATGGAGTAGCAAGCTAGTGCATCAGAGATACAAATATTCATTAAATTCCTAAAACTAATTGAGAAGTCCACCTCAACAAGGTGGACTCAAACACATCCATGGCAACAGTCTGTTCATCATCACTGGAACACTGGACACAACACTCTGCAAGAAACAGCTTTCCAAGTGGTCTTTTTGTTGTTAATGGTCTTATTATTGTTAATCCAATTATATTCATTGCAATAATAATGCTGATAATTTTCCACTTGGGCTCTACAGTGAAGAAATCGATAAATACTGCGTGTATTTCTGCATGTAACTTTGTGAGTGCATTTAGTTTTGCCAAAGGCAAGGAAAAATCTTTTGGAGAACAGGTAATTTGAGTCCATTAGGAAACACTGAGGTTGGGGCATTCAGAAACCATTGCTTGTAGGCAGGTACACCGAGTTAGCACTGTCTGACAAAAAACAAAGGAGCAGCAGTGTTTAGAATAGGCAATAAGCAATAATAAGTAAGGAAATACAGACTTAAATTCCAATATGGGGTAACCAAAGCTATGGAAATGTTAATGAATTGTATTCATCAGAGGTAAAGTCAGCAGGGAGGAAAACACCAGTACCTGGCTGTGACTTAATTGTTACTTTACAAGTGTTTATGTGCTCCGTGTTTAATGAGTGCAGATTGGGAGTCCAGGACTCAATTAAAAATACTATAAACAAAATAGAAGAGTACAAAGGCAAGGAGAAAGCATGATAAGCCCACACTCTAGGGCATTGTGATTGGGAAAATATCATACCATACATAAGATGTCTCCAGATCTAAAGGAGCAGCAACAAATGTTCAAAGGAATCAATCTAAATGATTCAGGAGTAGATTTGAGAGAGTCTGTGACACAAGGATTAACTGCAGCTGAGGAGAAGATAAGGAGACCCTTTATCTTAAAGGCTGAAGTCCCCTACACCATACAGAAATTTGACATGGCTAGCAATTTATATTTAGTGTTGAAAATAATTTGCTTCACAAGTGTAGTGTGTTCCAGAGAATGTAAGGATTCCCTCAGAGCTGTCATTTTTCCTTTTTTAGTATTATAGGAGCATCAGTGCTCAACTGAAAACATGGTTCAAAGGGCATCATCTTCCAACAGGCCTAAACTCTCTCTGTGCTTCAAGTAACTCACACATACACACAAATCAAATCAAATAATCAGAAATATGAAGTGAGCAATAATGACTGATGACAGAAATGGTAATCAATGAATTACATGCCACTCTTTGAATTACCCAGTAAGGATTTAGATACTATGAAATCAGTGGCTGTAAATTCTGATGACAAGACAATTTTGTTGTGTCTTCTAGAGCCCCACAACCACCACAACAGCAGTGTTTCAGGCAGTGTATTAGTCAAGCAGGATGGAATTACCAACCACCTGCAAGTCACTACCCTAGGCAAACAAGTTATTGTCACTTTTGATTCTGACTGCTAGCAGTATCACTGGTTTCATCTCACAAGACAGTTGGTGTCTGTTAATAAAGCCATTATAATTAAGATAATCAGTTGTTGCTGCTGTTTTGATTTAGCTGCAAGAAAACAATAGTTAGAGATGTCAGCTTTCTAAAAAAGGTCAAAATTGAGATGCATATTCAGAAGCAGAACCTGGGACACCTGAGAAGACTGAAGTACTTGCAGGGTTCAAGGCCCTTCACCTAAACAGGGAAATCCTAAATGTAGCTTTAAGGATAAGGACTGCTTCCATTTTTAGGCATTTACGTCTTCACATTTGTCTGCTTTTATGGATGATGATTCTGTCTCCAAGATACACTTTTGCCTACAGGACTACCTTGTGACCACACTGTTGGTGTTTCCAAAGGAAGAAAATTTTCACTTCTCAAACCACTTGTGCATGGACTCTCACACCCAAAATGTGTGAATGGGACTCTCACACCCAAATCTGTCTCAGCAATCTCTGTTGTGGGGTCTCCTCCTGTGATGACCTCACATACCACTAACACCAAGGGGGCAAGATGACCCTCATTAAGAAAGGCCATGCTGTCATCAGCCTCAGGGTAGATGACAGCTGTAGGCAAACTGAGTTCAGAGAATTTTCAGGCTGTCAGCAAGGACTGTATGGATGCTGGGTACTCATGATGAGATATCCAGTAAGATAATAACAACTGTTTCATTATTATGTTGTGCTTAAAGCTATTCTCTCATTTTTCTTAATTAATGTTTGGATTGCACTTGTGGAAAACTCTATAAAAAGAAGTTGTCCATTATTATTTATTTCAGCCTGGATTTGTTATGATGCCTTGAGAAACTATTCAGAGATGCTACATAGTGATACTAATCCATTATCCACAGACCACTCCCTACACCCCCACCCCCATATTCTTCTATTTTACAACCTGCAATTGCATAGAATCACTTATTGCCAAGTGGTCATTTTCTCACATTTGTTATGACAACAGGATAAATGCCAACGTTTGTCAACATCTTGTAAATGATGAGTCTTAATGAGGCAATCTAGTGTTTCACCCCTCTGAGGAATCTCATAATAGGATGAGCAAAATATCAGGTTAAAGGAAGTGGGAGGTAATCCCAGGGGACAGACCTTTTCTTGTACAATATATTCCTCAAGGTTTTGCTTGGAGTGGGTTCTAGGATGCAGGCCAATTTGGCGTACCCCCTTGTACGAAATTTTAATTGTATTTTTATCAAATCCAGCAGAAATGCATTCTGCATGTTGAATCTGTCAGTAAGCAGTGCCCTGGGAGAAAATAACAATATGAGCTTTGAGAACTTTCACCTAATACATGAACTTAAAGTCACTCTTCCTAAAATGAAGAATATACCTAATGTTCATTCTCTTGATCTGTCCTGCTTTTTTGATTTGTTTGTTTGGGGTTTTTTTACTTTGATTTTGTAAAATATATTTCTGCCTTTTGTGCTTGCTAATTTATTTCAGGAGGTTTCTTTGCAAAAAATGCAAGGCACATTTCAGTCCAGCATTTTCTTTTTAGTTATAAGCCAAAGTGGAAGAGAATTCTTGCATCTCCTCTGAGCTTTCTGTTGTGTTGCTTTTTTAAAATATATGTATACTCTGTATTTCAGAATGCTACGCCTTAAAAACTTGAGTAAATAAAGTGTGTAAAGGGCCCTACAAAAGTAATGCTTAATTAGAACAAGACAGGTTTTTCAGAAACAAGTATTATCACTTCATCACTCTATAAATGATACTATAGGTAATCAAGAGATACTGTGTTTTGATAACAAGAATCATATATGATTTAGGATCCAACCAACTGTATAGCAGAATTAGAGTTCATTAGAAATTTCTGGGGGTTTTTTTGTATCTTGCAGGTTTGTTATTTATTTGGGTCCAACTCAAAGAATGTCAGAGATTTAATTTTGGATAATTCAAAAATAAGAAGCATTAAGTTATATCATTGTTTTGGCTTTAAAAAAATTCCACTGGAAAATTACTCAATCAAGTCTACATATTCTAGTAGAACATATTGAGTATCATTTAAATCAATCAATCAAATGCAAAATGATGGAAATTGTAGAATTTCATTAAGGTCATGTAACTTCATTTCAATTATTTTCTATATCATGTACAAAAACAGTAAGGCTAATAATGAAGTGCTTCTGTAAACTTATATTCATGTTTTTTAAAACAGAATTGTGGAATTTAAGAAAAATTAATTTCTTAAAAGTCTCAGAAATTTCAATTCTTTATTTGTTTTTATTCCAGCTGAAAATATTTCTATTTCTACATTTTTATTATTTTTATTTCAAGCCGAAAAAAAAATTCTGACATTTCAAAATTTCTTTTGGGACAGACATTTCAGATGTTACTACACATCACTACAAGTGGTCAGGGACCCACATTAATTCTCTAAGATATTTGGCTTCAGAGGACCCATGTCAATCTATGGGGCTTTTTTTCTCACCATATATCCTTTCCTCCTCATAGTGCCCTCTGCATCTCCTGGGATCTCGTCTGCAACTACAGTGCCTTGAGAAAGGCAATGTATTGATATATTCTGATTTCCACTTTTGCTGTTCATCTGCAAACTGGAAACATGGTTTAATTGGATTGGATTGGCCATGACTGTGCCTTCTCCTGCCAACGGAACTGATGTTATAGTCTTTCCCTACTAATTGTTTGTATAACAACTGTTAATGTTAATCAGAACAACTGCAACTGGCTCTGGTTTGCATCTGTTTTGTTTTAATCATCATTTAAGTGTTAACTTAGAGTCCAAGAAAGGAAGGGAGACCTGTGTTACACCTGGGCATTGCTAACAAGCCTCTAGAGCAGCATACTATTTTGAACTTTATTAGCCACTGAATTTTAAGTAGACCAAATTGTCAGTGTTTTCATTTATAGGTTCGTTCACTGAGACTGTTTATATAAATATAAGTGAGAGGGAAAGACTGGGAATGCGTGCAGGGAGAAGGACAGGCAGAGGTCAGTCCAACCGTGAACCCAAGTGGAACCGAGTTTTCTGATTTAGAGAATTTGTGTGAGGAGACATAGACTTTGGTACTCTCCTTGTCACAGAACAGATTTTGTGACTTGCAAAACTTACCCACTGAAGTCACCCTAAAAAAGGGCAGGTGAGTCAGGTATGTGCAGCTTTTGCAGATGAATGGTGAGGAGTGGCAACAGAGCTGATGCTACAGAAAACATCCATGCAGTAGTCGAGGACCTAAAACAGCTTTCATAGGAAATAAAATAAATTATTGGTTCCTTCCTTAACTCTGTGGAGTTCAGAGATAAATACATAGGAAAAACTTCATTCCTTGAGGCAAAAATCTAAATTTCAGATGGCAGTAAAGAGTTTTGGTACAAATGTAATGCATGTAATGCAGGACGTACTATTCAAAGGCAGACCATACCCCTTTAATCCCACTCTTGCTCTTTCTCCATTAAATAGAAGTGGCAAAATTTCAGGAATCATTTAGAAAGGAAGCTATAGTAAGATGTGGCCTTCTGACAATCCTCCTCCATCTCTTTGTAAGCAAAAGAGAGAAAACATTTTTGGAAGGGAACCAGTATGAACTACCAGTAACAGGAACCCAGTCTTTCTAGCACTCGCATTTTTTTTTTGCTGATATATCTCTAAATCTTCTCTAATCTCATAAATGCAAAGTACTTTCACATATAAAATATGTATTTATAGTAAAGATTGGGGAGGAGGGAATATAAGCAACTGGGAATTTCAATTGAACCTATAATAAGTGCTACATTCACTTTAGTAAAAGAAAATAATAAATAAATATTCAGCCACTCTTACATGATAACATATCGTATTTTCTTTAAACTAAGGCAGGATGGAAAATGAAGAGTCTCCAGATTATAGCAGACTAAAACCACTTATATTTATCCTGTATAAATTGTTTCCTAATATTCCTGAGACCTTTTCTCCTCTCTTTTTCCCTCCCGACCCTTCATTTCTTCATAAGGGCTGAAAATGAAACAACTCATAAGCATATTCTTAAGGAAACTTTTCATTTTCTATAACAAACATTCTCCTGGACCGTCAATATGTAAATTATTGACAGACTAGGGAGAAATTACCTGCAAATAACACTAGATTGTGTTGAATTCAGTTAGCTGTACAGCCAAAGGATCGCACATTTCTGACCAACACATGGCAATTTGAATGTCCCTCTCTAGAGGCAGAGTTTAGAGACAGAATATGTGGGAAGAATCACCTGCCACACTCTCATCTACTGTGAACATATTCTTCCTTTCCAATTGGAGCTTCATCATCTTGCATCCATTGTGGCTCACTTGCAGCTTTCCCGCCTTTATTAGGAGACTTGGACATTTCTGCAGAAGTACAATCTTCTTTTAAATTTGTAAATAATAAATAATAAATTAATAAATTAAAAAGAAGCTCTGAAAAATGCATTTTGCTGTCTAATGGATATAAAGCTTTTATTATGATCTGAAACAGCTGAAGAAATTATAATGCTAAATGTCTCTATTCCTTAGAAGTGACTGGATTCAAAATACATACAGTTACCTATGACAATACAGCTGTGTATAAGTGAAGGGCTCCTTGCTGAGTGACTGAATGTAAGCCAACACTAATAAAACTATACCACAGAAACCTTCTCCACAGTTCCTGCCTCATGTCCATGTTTCTGTTTCTCACCTCTAACCATCGTCAGCTCATGCACATCTATCATGGTTTAATCCCAGACTCCTACAAAGCTTCACACAGCCACTCACCCTCTTACCAGTGGGATTGGAGAGAGAATCAAAAACGTAAAAGCTGGAAATCTCATGGGTTGAGATAACAACAGGTTAATAGGGAAAGCAAAAGCAGCACCCACAAGCAAAGAAAAATGAGGAATTAATTCACTGCTTCCCATGAGCAGACAGGTGTTAAGCCATGTCCAGGAGAGCAGGGCCCCATCGTGCGCAAAAATTATTCTGGAAGACAAATGGCATCACTCCAAACATGCCCCTTTCTCTGTATACTTCCCCCTATACACTGAGCATGAGGTCACAAGGTTTGGACTATCCCTCTGGTCAGTTTGGGTCAGCTGCATTTGATGTGGCTCCTCCCAATTTCCCAAGGACCGCCCATCTCCTCCAACATGTCAGTGTGAAAAGCAGAATAGGGCTTGGTCCTGTGTGACCGTAACAAAAATATCTCTGTATTATCAGCCCTATGTTCAAAACACAGCCCCATGCTAGCCACTGGGAAGAAAATTAACTCTACTGCAGACAAATCCAGCACAACAACTGACCCAAAACCCCTCAGTGCAGCAGTGTCATTAAAACATTGTTCTTCAGCAACCCTTTCATATGACACTACCATGAATCCTTAAAGAGTATGGCCTCCAACGGCCTCCTTTTCTCAGCAGTGAGTGCACTCAGGTTCTCCAGGTGAGATGAGATGCTGCACATTTCTTTACTTCCCCATTGCAAATCTAGTCTCTCTATATTACAAAGTTAGACTTCCAACTGGTAAGGGAACACTGTTGGGAACATTAGCTAAATAAGTTATTTCTTTATATTTTTAAATTTACAAAAGAAAGCCAGAGAGGGACTTTGACCCAGACCCTCACAGATCCACTTTCCACTGAGGAAAAATTGGTTAGCATGACTTGCTCCTAACAAATAATTCAATCAGGCTCTATCACCTCCTAGAGAGTCTCAAGTGACAACAAAAGGTGACAGTATTGAATGATTCCACTTTCATCTATTCCACATGATTAAGGGGTTTAGTCTAATGAATTCCACTATATAAAAATAAGTATAACTGATGACAGGAAAGATGCAGCTTAGTCCCTGCATAAAGAGATTTGTTTGGTTTTTTTCCGCCTCACATAAATAGAGGTCTTTCTAGGAAGGTGAGTTTGTCTATACTTATCTTCAATTAAGCTCACGAAGCTTGCAGGGAGGCTGTAAAACTCTGTAAGCTCTTAAGACTGGACGGCACTACCGCATGAGCAGAGCATTTAAAATCAGTGGAGACAGAGAACCCCTAAACATAACTCCCTTTAAATAGTCAGACCTTGTTAATCCAAGCTTAGTTTAACCAAATGCCCGAGTATCTGAAATGCTTAAGTGGAAACTTGTCTCCAAGTCTGAATGTACCTTTGATTTGTTAATCTGATTGTGAGGGTGGGGGTATCCTGTATGAAATGAAGTTTGCAAACAGCTTTGGATTAATCAGTCTTACATGCTACAAAACAAAGTATATTCCTGCCACTGTATTTATCATCAGGAAAGGCTGGCACCCTTTCTCACTGGCTGATTTATAGAATTGCACATTTGGCATAGCAGTGTAATATTCAGATGGCAGAGTTTTCTAATAAGGATGTGCAATGAATGGAAATAAATGGAGCGTACCTGAAATTATGCATGTAACTTTTGAGTACATTATGTCCTGGTAGCTTAAAAAAATAAATAAATCTTTATTGGAATGCATTAAGTTTCTGGACAACCTGACTAGTACATAGCAAATTTGTCACCTTTAAAATATTCATTTGTGCTTATTTGGCCTCTTAGTCATGTGTTTATTCTGTTATGGTTCCAAGGAAATGCTACACATTAAATCTACTGGGTTCTGATATAAGGCTGCTTGTCATTTTGGTTCTATTCAAAGAATTTCTTATGTTTGATATCTACAGGACATTAATGCTGGGGCATCTGTCCATTTCCAAAAATGAGCTATCACACATCTGGCTGCTGGTAATAATTGCTTTATCAATGACTTCTTCTCTGAGTCAATAACCTCATTTGGACTGTAGTGGGACGGGTTTGGTGTACAGCCTAACTTACATTTTCTAATTTTGTAGCTCTGTTTCTGTAGTATACACGAGACTATCAGACAGACCCAGTAATTTGACTTCTTACCAGAATAAAATACATTTCTGAAGATGCAGCCTCATGTTATTTTTCCAGAACCAGAAAATAATTCTTCTGTATGTTTAATATTTTAACAAAATTCACGGACTGGAATTAACAAAGGAAGATTTACTGGATTTCTTTCTTGCCTTGACTATACTCTGCATGTATATTCTCATACATATACAAATATTTTGCCTCCTTTTGGTGGCATAGTTGCTGTCACCTGAGTTAAATGCAGTAATAATACAAAAAGCCCTTGTAATATTGTCAGAGTATTAATTTAACATACAGATTATTTATTATAGAATTCTTCCCCCAAATCATGTTTCTCATGTATTTTTCTTCTATCTCATTTATGAGGTTCAAATATATTTCTCATTATGGAGAGTTATTGCATTGAAACCATTGTCTTAACTACCATGTTAAGACAAATTACCATTTGCTTCAGTAAAATAACACTATGTAATTTAGATAGATGAAGCACTAGCCAGAAGTTTTATCTGATGAATGGTACTAGAGTATCCTGATGAACTTACTTGGGTTTTCAGAAGAGTGCAAATAACATAGGTTATATGCTGTACTTACCATTATTCCTGCCAAATGCACCCCAACCACATGTGAAACTGCTTATGATGAAGCAAAAGCATCAATGAAACTATGGGAGGAGATCAAGACTCATCTGAGCGAAAAAATTGACTTCCTGCTCTACTTTACATTCTGGACATAAAATATAAATATTTCAATCATAGCACTGTTTCTCTGAGATTTTTTTTTTTTTTTTCACTTTTGTTTTGTCTTGTTATTAATTGGTTTTGATATTGCCTAGCTCAAAATGCTTAGCAAGTTCACTTGGAAGCCAGAAAGAGACACACTAAAACAGCCTGGAACAGTTTTGTGCACTGGAACAGATTGCCCAGAGATGTTTTGAAGTTTCCCTCACTGGAGATACTCAAGAATCATCTGGATGCTATCCTGTGCCACGTGCTCTAGGATGACCCTGTCTCAGCAGGTTGGAGCAAATGACCCATGGTGGTTCCTTCCAACCTGATGCATTCTATGATTCTTTGAAGCCTGAGGGTATTCCATAGGGCAAATATCCACAGAGCATCACTGACTCAGGCTGATAAATTGAGCCACTTTAGAATATCAATTTGTGGGTCAAGCTCAGAAGTCACACTCAATCTACTGTGCCCATTCTAAAATCTCCTCCTATCTTTTTGGGTTGGGCATATCACTTAAAAAAACAGTCATATGGCTCTGAATTGAGCTGTCTTAGGATCACATTTGATGTTTAATAGTTGATGTTTAAGGCCAGTGGTGATACCTAAGAATCATTGTTAACCAGCATTTTTCTACTCCTTCCTGCTCTGGTTGCTTGTAACTCAGGAAATTAACTTGTTTGGGTCTTTGACACTCATTATGTCCATTTTTGAGTCTGAAAAAGAATATTAGAGAATATTAGAGAAATTAACATTTTTCTGTTCTGATAGTATTGCTGTGACAAAAGTAGTAAAGATGTGAAACAAATAGCTATTGATATGACTGATCTTGTCTTCTTTGAAAGCTCAATCTACACTCATCCATTTCACTCCTCTTCATTCCACTACCCATACTGCAGTCATTCATGTCTTTGAGAGACACATGGTGAGGCTGACACCTAAAATGTAAGGTAGCCCCCAAAGTAGTTGTTTATACAAGCTTTCTTCAAGGCAGCTACAGTGACCACCACCCAGAATTGTGGAAAATTAAGGCAATATAAGGATCCTCTGCTCCTCCCTGACTGCAGTTGCATGAGCATCTAATCTCCATCCAGTTTTGCCCTCTGCTTTGCCTGGAAGTGAGCTATTGGTATGATCCTGCTCACTCCCATTTGATGCACTACTCATCACATTGTGCCTGCCATTTCTTTGGCATTACCTATCTGTGATATTGATGCATGGGAACTAATGCCATTAACAAGCTTGCAGGCTGATGAAAGTCTTACACTGAAAACACATCTGCATTCTCCTTCCTCTTTCTCCATTGCATAAAACTCTAAGAATTGATCTTCAGGGCTTACTTTGCAGCCTCATTGATATTAGCAGCTTGATGACACACCCAACGTGTCTGTTAGCACTGTTCTGTATCAGTGTCAAGCAAAACAGATAACTGATAATATCTGACACAACTAGGCAGGAATTCATAGCTTCACAAAAGACAGTACACTACCTTATCATCCTGCTGGTAGAGTGGCTTGGGAAAACTTATCTTGGCATGTAAAAGGAAATATGCTTGAATCATGGAATTCTTTGCCTAAAACTTACTATGCAATAGGGTGTGCCTATTTGTCTAAGATACCAAGCTCCTGTGTGGCTATTGCTGAAATACAGAAATAAGTATTTTTAAAAATATGGTTCTTTCTCTGTTATACTGCTTTACAGATGCCTTGAAAACCAGTGGAAAAATCAGAATCAGTTCTGAGG